CGGGGAGACTTGGTGAAAAAAGGAAGCTGTGATGGTTCCATCTTCTTAGAGAATCAGGAGGTAAGGTCACCTGCTACAGGCTGGAACTGGCTCGGGACCTTAAGAATACTGGGATTTGGACTCTCCACCAAGGGTGAAAGAAAGGCATACATTAAAATATAAAATTTCTGAGGAATAAAGAGCTGTCTAGCATTAAGGCCCCTGCTGAGAGTCAGCCTCAACCCAGGACCTTTGCACATGCTGGTTCCTCTATTTGCACAGTTAGCATTTTCCCATCTTTTAGACCATGGCTTACATGCCACTTCTTCAGGGTGCCTCTCCCCAGTAATCCCAGCTGGAGTAGGTTCCCTCCCCATCCCATGAGTCCCCATCTCAGCTTCCTTACTCCTCACATTTGCAATTACTTTATTAGCTGTTTAAAGAAAAATCTGTCTAACCCAACCAGTGTGTAAGCCCCAGGTGACCAGGGACCACACCTGTCTTGTCAGACACATAGCAGGAGCTGGACAGACACCTGCTGAGTGCAGGAACGAGTGAGGAAGAAGGTACATCTGTAGTGCAGCGAACAGCAAGGCTGAGCCGGCGTCCCCAGGGTCCAGGATCGCAGACTGAGGCTAAGACAGAGCTGGCGGTGCAAGAGGTTTATGGGTGGTGGGTGGTAGGGAGTAACCTGGGGAAGATAAAGGGAGGGCAGCAGAACCTCCCCATGCGGCCCAGAGGCAGAGCTAGGATGGAGGCGGGGTGGGTGAAACTGAGAGGAAGGCAGAGGCGGCTCCATCCCCAGTGCAGTGACCAGTGATGGGAATGCTCCCCGAAAAATGCAATGGACTGTCCGGGCCGTGGGGTTGCCAGATTTAGCAAATGGAGATTAGGACACCTAGTTAGGTTTGAATTTCAGATAAACAAGGAATAACCCTAAGCAATATTTGGGACACACTTACACTAAACATTATTCCTCATTTATCTGAAATTCAAATTTAACTGGGCATCTTGGATTTTATCTGGAAATCCTACCAGGATGTTAAGTTTTTGTCACTGAAGGTACACTGGCCCAGTCTGGGACACCAGGTGGAGGGCTACGGCTTGGTGATTGGCTGAAGTATCTGATGGAAGGCTTGAGTTTAAGCACCCCAGCCCATCCCAACCAGGTATTCAACTCCCCCAGTTCCCCAGGGTGGCGTTGGGGCAAGGGGCATCCTGCCGCTCCCCAGAAGGATTTAATTCACGGTCCTGAGCCAAACAGCCGCAAGCCCTTGTTTATAGAGCTCCATCCTTCAGTGGTCAGAGCCCAAAGCCCGCAGCCCCATCCATCTGAGAGCAGCAAGCCTGGGCAGGGTGGTGGTGCAGGGGGCTGCCCTCATCCCTGCCGCTGGCACAGATGTGGACCCAACAGCCCAACCCCCAGGGCCGGGCTCCCTCCCCCACCTCCCCTTGTCAAGCCCCTCTCCGGGGTGGGGAGCTGTCACCACCCCTGCCCGTTCCCTTGGCCTGCCATCACCACACACACTCGATTAGGGGGATCCGAGTGACTTACAGGGGCTGCTCTTCCCCAGGGTCGGCATTTGCATAGGGTGATGGATGCTGAGATGTCATCTAAACACATCTGCACTTTGCATTTTAAACAAAGCAATTTCCAGAGGAAGCTGGAGGGAGCTTTGTCTCCTTCCAGGGACGTTTCCTCTGAGTTGGCTTCTCTTTCTTTTTGGCACTTCCCACCACACCTGTCCCAGACCCCTCTCCTCTACTGGCCTCCTGCTCACTCCCCACCCCACCCCACCTCCATGGTAGTAACCCCAGTTTGCCCAGGGCCAGGCAGGGGTCACTCAGCCCCATCTTCTGTGCCTGACATGGGTGCCCCTCTCCACGCGCACCCGGCAGGAGACCTGTGACCAGGAGAGCAGCATTAGCCAAAACCAGCCACCCATGAGACGTGGTTGGAGGGACCCAAAATACCTGCTTTGGACATCCTTGTCCCCTCCCCCTCCCAAGACACAAGCCCAGGATGCCCCTTAGATCCTCCATGACTTGTCTGGGGACATAGGATTTTCTTCTAACCTCTGACCTCTGATAACATACAGTGGAGAATTTCCTCTTAATGAGTCTAAGACTTCCCCGCCAGGGACCTTAGGAATATGATAAAAATGTCACCAGAACATCGACCCATAATGTTAGGATGATTCATTTTCTGCAAAGACAAGCAGGCAGGAATAAAGTAGGCAGTCCCTGGAATTTTGCTCCCACTAATGTGGCTCCCACTAGAGTAGCTGCTGGCTCCTGAGGGCCCGTAGCGTCGTCCCAACTCAGGTCCCGACAAGGGGCATGACTTTGGTTCAAGTCGCTTAGCCACCAAACTGCATCACAGCACTCACTATTGCAGAGGAGCCTCGCCCTCCCGAGGCTCCTCTGCAATAGCACACGTCCACGGTGGGACACCGCAGCGTTTGTCCATGCTCCCGTCTTCTCCCCCGTCCGGCCAGATGGGCCACAAGCTGGCCCTAGAGGGGTGGGAGCAGACATCTGTGGCTGGGGGTGGCTGCTGTGAGGCCATGTGGTTCTGTGCAGTGGGAGGCGGGTGCGGAAAGGACTGGACTTTGTTGAGTGCCTACTATGTGTCTGGCCTTTTAGATGGCCAGTCTGGAACACGGCACGGCAGTTAAAAGACTGGAACTGGATGCCTACAGACGCGGACGCCAGCCTGGGCTCTGTGACCTAAGGCAGTAGCGTTTCCATCGAACACTCAGTGAGAGGAATGAATGGGACAGTCCGTGAACTGTCTAGGAGGTGGCTGGCAGCCACCTGTTACAACCTTTTAGCATCTTTTCAGGGCGTGGTTGGCTGCCTTGTGCTGGTGGGGAGGGAGGAGCCTGGCCCCGGGCCGCAGCGCCAGTGAGGGCAGAGCAGGATTTCTGAGCCCAGGCCAGTCTGAATCCACAGCTCATGCCACTGCCAACAGCAGAGCCATGGGGTATGGAGAGCTTGACCCACACTGTCTCCAGGTGGGAGGGACAGATCTGACCGTGTCCCTCCCCTGCTTGAAACTCTGCCAGGGCTTCCCACTTGTTCTGGGATAGAGAGCAATGTCCTCATCGAGGCCAACCAAGCCCTGTGCCATTGGACCCCTCTGGCTTCCAGCCTCCTCTTCCTCCCTTCTGCCGTCAATCAACCAATCAGCAGTCTTTTTCCAGTTTCTGGAGCAAGCCAGAGCACACCAGCCTCCCCATCTCTCCTTCTCTCTGCTCCTCAACAGCTCTCTCTCTCCCTGCAGTGCCGTCTCCCAGCACCACCTGGCTTCCTCCACCCCTGCAGGTCTCAGCCTCCACCTGCATCCACAGGACGGTTTTCTCGCACAGCCGGCCCCACCTAAAGGCCAGGTTGGTTCCTTTGTTACGCACCCCCACATGCCGCTGAGAGTCTCCCATTTAAGACACGCTCATAAATCGCCAGTTCGATGTCTGTCTTCTCGGCTCAGCTGGGAGCACCCACTGTGCCCCCAAACCTAGCCCCATGCCAGGTGAGGAATGAGAGAGTAAGGAGTGGGCCAGAGTGACTGGGGTCGGGCAGGAAAGCGAGGGCTAAGGAGACAGAGCACACCCTGGATCAGAAAAGATTGGCCTTTCTGGGCGTTGGCTGAAATACGGCTTAAAACTAGGGCCGGCCTTTGAGGCCGGAGGTGAACTCCTGGAGGGGCACGTCCTTGCTCTGTGGAACTATGGTCCTTTCGCACGACGAAGCCTCAGGCCAGGGGAGGGTCAGCTGTCTGGGGTTCCAGGTGGTGTCTGTGCTTTGGGGGCCAAGTGAATTTGGACAGAGGCAACAGGAAATAAATACATGGGGTGGCGAGGGCTTGTTCACCACCCCCACGCCGCAGCCTTCGCTAGAGAAAAGACTTGGCCTATGGGATCAGCTTCTGACTCTTCAGCTTGTGCAGAAAAACGGAAAGAGGCTAACAGGCTGAGCTGAGCTGGATAACCACGAGCTGGATCTGGGTGAGGAGGGCCGAGAAGGGGTGCCCGTGGAGACTGAGTTAGGGAGAGCTGGGGGCGGTGCAGAGATGCCAGAGAGAGGGGTTTCCAACAGCCGTGGCCACGTGGGAGAGAGGGACGAAGAAAGAGGTTTCCGATGAAGCCTGGCTGTGCATTAATAATGCAACAGCCTGCTGGTGATATCGACAGTGCGCAGGGTGAGGGCTTGGGTCGCTTTTAGTCCTTTTGTGCTTTGCTGGACTGTTGTGTCTTTGGAAGTGAGTGTCTGGGCATCGACTGTGAAATTGGGGCTTTCTTGGGGACATGTATTTAATGAGGGGCCTTGTGAACGGGGGCAGGCTGGCCCCTCCTTTACGTTGGCCCCGTCTTAGCCTTGTTCCCAGCTCCATCACGGGGGATTGTCCCGTCTGTCAGTGGGAGGAGGGGATGGGAGGCTCTGGTTGTCCTTTTTCTCCACAGGGGAGGTGGGAGAGACTCTGCAGTACCCAAGCGAGAGCCCCAGTGCCTTAGCTTTGCCTTGTGACAGCTGCCAAAGGGATCTTTGCACAGATGGACTGGGCATTTGGGCTGGCGAGGGAGGGATGTCTGCAGAAGTGAGACCGATTTCCTGGAAAAAGTAAGTAGGAAAAAAGGCCTCTACAGACCACTCCCCCTCCCCACATCGCCTGTAAAAAAGAAGGCAGGCTTCCGACTGCCAGGCGCTGGAGCTGGAATGGCTAATGAAGTGCTTTAGGTTCTCATGCAATTGATGTTCCGTGTCCCTGACGGCAATGAAGAGAACAGAGCGCCTCACTGTTCTTCTTCCACGTAGAAAAGGCAGGACAGGGTTTCTCAGACGGGGATCCTACTTCTCGAGTCGCATGCCTGAGTTTTGCTGCTGAACACGCCTCAATCCCAGAGAACGGGGGCTGAGCTGGCTCTCCCCACGGCCTCTCCTAGCGTGGGCCCAAGACCAGGGGGCAGCCAGCCTGAGAGAGCATGTGCGAAGGAATTCTCCAACCGGCCTTTCCTTATTTATTGGATTCCAGATACACGGGACCGGGACCGGAGAATCCTCGGGTGGTGCACTTACATGGGGGTCTCTGGGAGACACAGGCAGAGGAGGAAATCCGTACAGGTGGGTGATGCAATGAGGGGCTGCCATTTTTAAAAATATATACATTTAAGAAGCCATTCCAGCCACATTATCATTATTAGAAAATAAAACAATCTCTCCACATAGTGCTTTACTTTGGTGCTGTTCCATGGGCAGGGCCCCCTGTCTTCCTGCTCTAGGGGGGCCGCCTCCACCCCCGCTGGCACTTCTCCCATCTGCACAGGGGAGGGGAGGGGCGCAGCTGGAGGGGAGGGCAGCCCCGACACAGGGGTGCATGCAGATTCCAGCTCCTCTGAGTCCTCGCCATGGCCTTCCACCCCGCACCCCACCCCGGTTGTGAGAGCCTCCTACGGGGCTCCGCCCCTGTGCCCTGGGAGGCAGCCGAGGTTTCCCGTGCACAAAACCTGGGCACCTCTTTCCAAGGTCCCAGTGGGATAAAACCAGTCTGGAAGCTTTAGCAAGGGTGAGGACACGGGGGCCAAACAAAACCCAGCCACAACCACCTTCTCCACCGTCGGATTTGTACACTTTATTTCTTGGTTTGTTTCAACGGCCTGTGTCATGAGGATACAACTGCGAAGGGCTATTTCCGCTTTACAGGTTTTCCAGGAACAGCAGATTTGGGGGTAAAACTTGAGTTCTGTCCTGTTTTTGTGTGTGTGTGGGGGGGTATCCTAACCTCTCCTCACTTCACCATCTCCCCACTAAGCCAGGGCCCCCCTCCTCCCAGGGAGGCCCCAGAGCTGGAGGGGCTTCTGACCAAGGAGTTGGCCCCTACACGGGCTCCCTGAATATCGGGGCTCCATCGACACGGGCCCGGACCTCTCCCGCCGAGTGGCGTTCCCGTTGTTACCGATATGCTTCCTGTTGCTCTAAGCTTTTTTTAGAGTAAGAGCATCAGCAGCATCCACCTCATTGGCACCAAGGCCTCAGGCCCTCTGCGCCCGCTGCTAGAAAGGGGCTCTGCTGCCAGGTACAGCGAGGCAAAGCTGCGCCACCTACAGAGCACCCGCCCGCTCCAGGCCGGTTGCTGCACCGGTAGCTGGAGAGGCTGTTCTCGGAAAAGATGGACTGCAAATGCCAGCGGACACAAGCCCCGCCATGTGGTCCTCATGCTTGAGCAGAAAGTGACGCTGCACCGAGCAGGGCACCCAGGTATGAGATGCCACCGACTGCCCCACGGCCTGCAGCATGCAGCCCAGGGAGAGGCAGGCCCCGGTTCTCTCACTGAGAGTTTTCCAGTTCAGACCCCGGGCACGGCCACTCATGGTTAGGTTGGATTTGGGCTTTGCCCCAGTTCCTTGATGCTGAGGAGGTGCCCTCCCAGATGAAGGACAATGGGGACCCACACGGAGCTAGGGATAGAGCATCCTGGATCAGTTGTAATTCCAATGGTGACTGTCAAGTGACTGTGGGCTTGGTTTCCCCAGAGCCAACGGGGAGTGGAGGGGGGCACATGTCACTGGGACCCTTGATATTTCCTATGCGAGGACGTCAGCCGGCCACTCTGCAGCTGCTGGGTCTTAGCCAGCCCTGCTGTCTGGAGAGCTGGTGTCTGTCCAGAAAGACGGGGAGGCGGAACCAGCAACAGCCGCCAGCCTTGGAAAGCCCAGGGGGCTGTGGATGAGGGCCCCTGGCCTCCTGGTGTCCTAGCGAGGGGTGGTGGGGATCTGCTTGCCTCTCCAGGTGACGGGAGGTTGGGTTAGAAAGGGTGTGCATGTCCCAGGTGAAAAGTGTCCCAGATGGGGTGGCTCTGATACTTGCTTTAGAAGTTGGCTGCTGGGAAAGGCATCTTCCATTCTTGGGAGAGCCTCCAAGCTGCCCTGGGCCACCCGTGCACACCATGCGGGGACGGGGTGTCCAGGTGTCCACTGTGCATGGAAGCAGGGTGGGTCAGAGAGGCTGGTGGCTCCCACTGAGCTCCCTGTCTTCAGGTTTCCCCCGTCTGCTTATCTGCTTCTGGGCTTTTCTGCGCTCAGCAGAGATTGGTTTGGGCCTCCCCCCATTCTGCCCAGATCCTCCCAGCCTGGAATCTTAGTGCCCAGGCGCCCCAGATGGGGTCAGGGCCCTCCGCATCTCCACTTCCCGCAGACCATGTGCTCTGGACCTGCCCCAAAGGCTGACAGAGGGAGGGGGAGGGCAAGGAGCAAGGAGAAAGGGGGGCTCTGGGGAGCTCCTCTGGGGGCCAGCACTATTCCCGCTATAGCCCCTGGCCATGGTGGCTGGCGGAAGCACAGTCTGAGCAAGCTCTGAGGGAGGGCCAGGAAGTAGCAGGGGGGCTCCTGGGGGTGAAGAGGAGGAGGAGGACAGGCAGACGGGGGGCACTGAGCGCTGGGGTGCCCATGAAAATGTGCCAGTTCTTGCAGCTACTCTCCCGATGGTGAGTCTCCCAGGAGCTGGGCGTGTGCACAGCTGAGGCAAAGTGTGGAAGGAGGGGCGGCTGGACTGTCGAAGGCACGGGGCCCCTTGAGAGACCGAGGGACCCACAGAGTAGGCAGGGCTTCTGGGAGGGAGTACCTGCCCTCTGAGAAGGAACGCCACCAGGTGGTATCCAACCTGAGTGTGCCTGAGCTCTGGGCCCTAGCACTGCCCACCAGGCCGGGGGTGGGGGAGGGGGTGGGGCCAGGAACTGTTCAAGCTACCTCTCGGTGGTCCAGTGGGGAGAGGGGGCCCTTCCTCAGCGGTCTCCAGTCTCAGGGAAGTCAGCCCTGGCCCAGGCGTCAGCACTGCCCATGGAGAAGGAAAAACATACCCAAGAAAAAGCCAGTTTCAGATGAGCCCCACGCCCCACCCCCCACCCCCATTCCCCTGTCTCACAGCACCCAGGACTCTGCACACAGCCTGGAGGCAAGAAGCCCCTTCTTCTGGGACTGCCCAAGGCCATGACACAGGGCTGGAAGGGCGAGGCTGGTGGCTGTGGAGGTCTCTGCATTGGGCCATCCATTTGTCTGTCCACAGGTGGGAGTCTGTCTGCGTCCTAGGCCGTCAGACCTTGGCCTCCAGCATCTCCAGGAAGAGTTTGTGCATGGGCACCTTGCCCTGCAGTTTGATGCTGTAGAAGTGCTGCACAGCCTTGGCGGCCGTCTGCCTCAGCAGGGGCAGCGTCAGCAGCAGCTGGCCCGTCCTCCGCGGCTCCGCGTGGCGCTGGCTGAGCTCATAGTCCTGCAGTGCCTCATGCAGCAGGTCCTGCAGCTTCTGGACTGCCTCCAGGTCTTCGATGTACATGGAATCTGTGGGCACAAGGGGGAGCATCAGGGGCCCTGGGCGGAGAGCGCTGCCATGGGGCTGGGGGCCGCCAGGGTCCTTGGCTCTGCTTTGGGGCTGTCCAAGTCCTCACTTTAGAGAGAGGGAACCCAAGGCTCAGAGAGCCTGGGCTGCTAGTCTGAGGTCACAGAGGCCAATGACACAGCTGGGGGTTGGACCCAGGGAGTGAGAGGTCTCTCTCTCCGGAGGACATTTCTCGAGGAACCGCTAAGAGACAGAAGTGGAAACCCTGGAGGGTTTGAACATGAGGAGTCCTGTAAGTGCCCTGCAGGACTGGGGTGGGCTCCAGGGCCAGACTGGTGGAGGTAGCATCCTGCATCCCTCGCTTGCTGTTAGGCAAATTATTTAGCTTCCCTGAGTCCCAGTTTCCTCATTTGTGAAATGAGATAATAGCCGTACCTACCTCGAGAGTTTAAATGAATTAATACAGATCAAGGGCTTAAACCAGCACAAAGTAAAGGCCCAGCTAGTGGTATCACCACCGCCACTGCCACCACCACCACCACCATCAGCAGCATCACTACCGTTGCTGCTGCCACCAGGCACCAGCTCAGGCCTTCACTGCAAGCGCTAACCCCACAAAATGCTGGCCAGAGAGTACAGACACAGAGTGCCCCGTGGTGGGGAACATGGGGGTACTGAGACAGCATGGCTGGACACATGGGGCATGGTGACAAGGGTAGCTTTTGGCAGGGACCCTTGTGATCTAAAATCCTGGGGAGGGCTTTGGACTCAGGCCATGAATTGGGGGTTCAAACAAAATTTACCAAAATCTCAGCAGGGCAGGAGGCGCTGACAGCTGGGTTACGGTCGGGTCTGAGCTGAAGCAAAGGGAATCTCCCGGACCCCATTCCCTGGCCTCAAGGAGGGTAACCAGCCCTCTCCTGACATTCCCTAAAGTGCCACCCTGGACTGCAGCGTCCAGCGCCTGCCAAAGGTGAGAGGGGAGGGCGCAGGTGAGTTACGTCAGCTTGAAGCTCTGAGTGGGTCTCCAAGGAAGGCTGGGCACGTTTCCCGAATCACTCAAAAGAGCAGGGCAGTTGGGTGGTTTAGATACCGGACTGCTAAGGGCAGCTGCACCGATGACCACCCCCTGACCTCCTGGGTTGACTCTCAGCCTGTGCCTTCGGGAACCCTGCCTCTCTCTCCTGGGAGGACAGCAGTGGGAGGAGGTAGATGAGGTAGCTGGGGTCTCAGCTGCGGAGCGCCTTTGGCCACGTGACTTGGGCTCTAGGTCTTCGGGATGGAGCCAATACGAGTGCACACCTGAGTGCAGGTGAGGGTTGGACGAAAGAGCACAGCACCAGGCAGTAAGTAGGCACCGAATGAGCGTTATCATGACCATTGTTGAGAGGGCTCCCACTGGGGGCGGGAGCGCTTGCAGGGCTGGGATGTTGCTGCCCCCATACACAGGACCCCTCCCCGCATTTTGGCTCCTGGCTGCTGAGGTAGCGGGGACTCCTTCTTTGCCAGCTGCAGGGGAGCCTGGCTCCATTCCTGCTCTCCCAACTGTTCGCAGAGTGTGAATCTAAGGTGTGGGGGTTCCTTTAAGGCGGGAGCCTGGCTACCCAGACTCCCTGCCTCCTGCCAGCGTCCTTTCCCCTGCCCCCCACCCACCTCCCCAAGGAGGCTGAAATTGGCAGCTACTTTCGACCAAAAATGAAATAAAATAACATTGCAAGATTAATTTCTTTGCAATCCATCAGCGCGTCTGTATCGATGGCATTGATAAACTGTTAATTACAAAATCAATGGCTATGATTTTTCCCCTGCTCTCAGGGAGCCTTGGAAAGGGGCAAGGGGTGAATGTCGGCCGCAGACTCCCCAGGGGCAGGCTTTGGGGCCACGGCCTGTCTCTGACGGGCTTCACCCGTCTGCCCGTTGTTAGCCCCCTGAGCCGCATCCGAGTGAGCCCATCCCGTCCACTCAGCCTCAGCAGTGGTGCTCACAGGGGCCCTGGGGCAGCCACCAGGACCACGGCAATGACCCCCTAGCCCCTGATGCACTCTGTCTGCCTGGGTGACTCTCCCACCTTACCGCTGGGGACAGGTCACCACCTGCCCCTGCCCTATCCTTCATGGTTCCCTATACTGACCCTGTGACAAGCCGATCCCTTCACAGCCTGGGAGCCTCTGGGACCCCACACTGCTTTCCTAGCCTAACCCCCGAGCAGGCCTGTCCTTTCCCCGCTTCTGCCTGCAGCCGGCCGCTCCCCTGTGCAGCCCAGGCCTCGAGCACCACGAACTCCTTCTCTGCCCTCCCTGAGCCGCCTGAACCTGCGCACGAGAGGCAGGACGGCTTGGAAGATGCCACTGGGGCAAAAGTCCGGGCTCCTAGAACTTGTCTCATACAACCAAGCACGTTTTTTAGGCAAAGCTTGATGATAGCAGAAGGTCCTGATGGGCTCGTGTCACCAAGCCACCGTCGGTCTCCAGGTGGCGTGTGCACCTATCTGTGAGCGTATGTGTATATTAGTACGTGTGTGCATGTGTGAGTATCTGTGTGTGTGTGTGCTTGTCTGTATGTGTCTGTATGTGCAGAGACCAAGGCAAGAGCAGCCGGCCTGGCTGAAGAGCCTTCTGAAAGGTGTTGAGGGGTGGGATGAAGGTGGCAGTGGAGTGGCTTCCCTTCCGTCACTCTTTCCTCCCGGGGGGTGAGCTCGAGCTCAGGGTCTGGTGTGGAGAGGCCGGGAGAAGCCAGCATCGAGCACGGGCCCGCCAAGGCTGCCAGCCCCGCTGTCTCACCTGGCCACCCGGGGCCCTCCGCTTTCACTGCGCCCCCTTTCCTGTCGTGCCCCTCCAAACTCCCAGCCCCTCTGCCATGCCGCTTCAGGTGCTGCTGTCTGACAAGGTGAGCGGAGGGGCCCGTGAGGGCAGTGCAGCTGCTCCGTGTGGTGTGTCTCGACGGAGCGCTGTCGTCACCCATTTGTCAAAACCTCTAGACGCGTACACCGCACAGAGTAAAAGCCCTGATGGCAACTGTGGACTTTTGTTAATAATAACATATCAATATTGGCCCATTAATTGTAGCACATTACCACACAAATGCAAGACGTTCATCACAGGTGAAGCCACGCAGGGGTGGAGCGGTACATGGAGCTCTACGTGCCACTGGCTTATTGCATCCCCTCAAACTGCACTAGAAGCCCCAACAGCACGAGCATTCTCCAACAAAACAAGCATCGCACTGTGGGCGTCTCAGGGTATGGATACAACACGGCAACATGTTAGTTATTATTTTGCAGTAGTTCATTACTAACTGCTTCCCTAGAAGCAGGGGCTGAGACAGGGGTTGGGGCCATGGGGTTTGCAAGGGCACGCTTCGGGAGAACAGAAGAGAGGTGGATGGGGTGGGGCAAGGGCGGGTGCCTGCGAGGTAAGGATGCAGCCTTGCCTTCCAGCCGACCCCTCCCTGCAGGGAATCCTGCCCTTCGTTCCCCTGTGTGGGCCCCCACAGGCTGAAGGTGCCAGGGGCTGGAGCAGATGACCCTTCTGGCCAGGCAGGTGAGGGGGGTCTCTGGTGAAGGGGGCAACTGTGAGCTGTCAGCCGAAAAACTTAGCAGCTGGCCCAGGAAGGGGGGTCTGATGGGCATCAGCAGCGCCTCTGCGAGCTCTACAAAGCCCTCTGTTAGAGGGACCGACTAACTCGGTGAGCCAGGGTGCCCTGGGGTAGGGGACTGTCAGGAAAAGTACAGCCGTGTCAAGCACACCAGCTGGCTGCTCCATTCGTACGGCCTCCGTCTGGGAGCCAGCCCTCCCTCTTCCTTGCACTGGCAACACTTAGTTTCCCCCCACACTACTACTAATGATAATAACGAATATTTATGGGACATTTCCTCTAGGCCAGGCACTGGCTAAGCACCTTATCTTGGGTTGATCATTTGATACAAAAGCGCTCAGAGGAGGTACAGGGATAGCCCCATGTCACACTCAAGGACAGAGCTACGGAAGACGGCCACATTGTCCACAGTCACCCTGCTACCACGGATCAGAGCTGGAATTTGAACTTGGGTCGATCTGGCTCAGACTTGAACAGTTAGGTCAATGTGCCGTCTTGCAGCAGAACCCGTGTGTGCGGGCTGACACTGTCTTTGGGACAAGGACGGTGCCTGTCTCTTCCTTCTGCATCCCCGCAGGGAACCCTGCACAAGGCAGCCGCCAAGTGCAGACACAGATTAGGTCAGATTTAAGCTCATTCCCCTGTGCCAGCCCCTCCCCCAGGAGCTGCTGAGAGCTCAAGAAATGGAGTGAGGTCTCCTTCTGAATGCCAGTCTCTAAACAACTCTGTGAGGAAGGTTTTCTATCTTGGACCCCCGCAATTTGGTTGTGAGATGCAAGGAGTGGGCATAAACTTGGGGCGATTTTGGAATCACATAACCTTGGTTTCACTCCTCGTTCTGTGCGGCCCTGGACAATTTGCTTCATCATTCTAAGCCTCAGTTTCCACATCTGTAAGATGGGTTTAAAATGATAAGAACTTTGCTCCTAGCGTAGCTGTGAGAACGAAATAACTTCACAGCTAAATTTATTGGACAGGTTAAGTACTTATTATGGGCCAGAAATGTTGTCAGCACAATATAATTCTATACCAATAAACCCCTTCCACAGTCTTGTGGGGTAGAGAACTGCTTGTCGTTCCCATTTAACTGATGAAGAAACTGAGGCAGAGGGTGAAGCATCCTGCCCGAGAGAAAGCAGGATCTGACTTTCAGGAACCCGGCTCTGAAATCTGGGTCCTTAACCAGTGTGCCGGCCTGGAGCTCAAGGGCCTAGCAGGGCGCCCTGCAAGTCGGGGCTTAGGAAATGCTCAATTTGTGCTGGCCTTCATCACCGTCCTTTTAACCCCAGGCCCCCTCTTGTACAATCTCTGGTGACAAGGAGCCCTGGCATCTTCACACCGTCCCTCTGACAGGCTGAGAAGACGTCTCAAAGCAGCCCCCCCCCCCAACAGGCCTCACGCCCCCGTTACCTGAGTTGGCCAGGGCCAGGGCCTTGAGCGTCACAAACTCCTCCTTCTCCACCTTGAGCTTCTTGTACCTGCGCACTAGCTGCAGGATGGCCCGGTAGAGCTCCAGGAGCCCCGTGAGGCGGGAGTGCTCCTCGTCCATGATGTAGTCCTCCGCGTACACCAGCTTGTCGTCGTAGGGCAGCGAGCGGTACACGATGCCCAGGATGAGGATCTCCATCCAGGCGCTCTGCAGCAGGCTCATCTGGTCCCCCAGCGAGAGGTTCGAGAAGCCTGTGGGAAGAGGGGGCGAGGAGGGCAGCCAGGGCCACGTGGTGGGCCAGGGCCCCCCCGGGGACCAGGTGGAGGGCGGGATGAGGGTGGGGGGTGTCCAGACCCCTCCGGACCCTGCCCGTCACCCCATATTTTCGGGACTCATCGTCCTTCCCTTGGAGAATGAGTCGGATGTGGATTCCATGGGAAAGACTGACATAACGAAAGCTCAGTCGATGCTGACACTTGTTATTACCGTTATGACTGTTAGTGCTCTGGTGTTTTTCAAAGTTCTGCAGAGGCTGTTTGACTTGTTATTATCGCTATCACTGTTCTGCGGTGTTTTTCGAAGGTCAGAAAGAGGCTTTGTGATTAGTTAGATGCATTCGTAATTTCAGGAGTTACTGAGTTCATAGCAGAATTAGGAGGTGGCAGCCCAGGGTCCCCTCCAGCCTGGGGAGTTTCCAGGCTCCCCTCCCTGCTCAAGCCAGGGCAGGTTTGGGTGTTGTGGAGTGGTGCTCGATCCTCGGTGCAGAGTCTCAGCTGTGCGGAAACCCAGGGGCCCAACCGGGAACGAGGACTCAGCTGTTCCTGGCCAGTGACCTCCTGTGGCCACAGCCTGGGGCTCCAAAATGCTCAGGAGACCCCGGGGTCAGGGGGCACTTTGTCACCGGGCAGCCTGTCCTCCCTGGGGTCAGACCCCTGCTGCCCGGGCCATTCATTACTCTCCATTTAATGATGACCCAGCAGTCCTGCATCCCGTGAGCCTGGACTCACGGGAGGCCCCCTCCCTGCAGGCAAGGAGGCTGACTCCAGGAGTGAACGGAGGCTGGGTGCAGGGATGGCCCCAGGCCTGTGACACTGTCTTATCCAGTGTGTTCTAAATGTGGCCGGGCTTGCATCCCGACTGCCCTTGTCCTAGCTGTGGGCTGACCTTGGGAAAGCTGCGCAGCTTCTCCAAACCTCAGCTTCCTCATCTGTGAAACGGCTGTAACCGGGGCCATTGTTACAGTGGCTTCAGAGCATCGCTGTGAGGTCTACATGAGCCAGTGGCGATAGAACATGCAACCCAGTTATGGAGCTCTTACTGTTATTGTTAGGGACGAGATGAGAGCCTACATCTGCAAACTGAGGATGATCTATTGGAGCTGTGCTCTGTGCAAAGTCAATTAACATCTTGATAAACAAGAAAGAGGGAGAGGGGGAGAAAGGAGGCAGGAAGAGAGAGAGAGAGGGAGGGAGGGAGAAAACCATGTTCAAACAGCTGGTCACTAAACGCAGGTGGCGACTTCAGTGCTCAGTTCCAGCACTGACCGTGCCGGATATGTAGAAAGAAGGAAAAGTGTTTGCAAAGCCATGTGCACCGTGTGTCATGGCAATGGGAATTCAGGGACTTCCTGAACGAAGGAAAAGCCGTTTTGCTTACGTAGGACTCGTCGCTCATTGCCGACCTGGACCCTAAGCCCTCCTGGGTGCAGCGGGCGGGGTGAGGATGCAGACGAGGGTGAGTGGAAGCACTGAGTGCTGATCCCCGCTCACAGCGGGAGCTCAGCAAAGCTGGGCCAGACGGTGGTGGTGGTGGTGGTGGTTGCTGCCATTACTGATGTGGTTAGCATGTTACTGGTATGGCTCTCTTTGCCCCTTTGGACTGGAGGCCTGGGGTGGTCCTGAGCTTCAGGACTGGCCCATCGCTCTGGGCTTCCATGGAGAGAGACTCTCTCCCACCCTTGTCCGCTGCCCTCCATCTCTAAAAACCGCTGTCCCTCCCTGTCTTCCAACCGGTAGTTGAGTGCCCGTCTGCAGGGGCCACCCCTGGGGCTGGAGCCCCCTTTCCTGGCAGGCTGCCCTTTCCCTGTCCGTCCAATCACTGCTGTTCCCGGGCCCAACCTGCACAGCCCAGGCCTTGGAGAGATACCTGGCCGCCAGCATCTGGTGGGGATGGATGAAAGAGCTGGATCGATGACACGGACAATAGGGGCGAGCCTGGACTGACACACCTTCTGAGGGGACAGGCCATGGCACAGAGGGCCGCATGGACAACACGCGTGCTGTCCAGATCCCAGAGTGGGAGACCGCGTGTGGCTGCCGTGGTGGCGGGGAGAGCCGGGAGGTAATAAAAGATAGATAGAAATGGACATCCAATTTCCCTTATCGGGCTTTTGAGCACAAGAGGCCTTGGGCGACATTAATTAACAGATACCAATCAGCCAGCCCGTGTGTGTGTGTGTGTGTGTGTGTGTGTGTGTGTGTGTGTGTGTAGGGGAGTGTGGGATGGCACTGTGGGAGGGGGGCGGTCTGAGAGCAGACGGAGTGGGGGGGAAGATGACGGGGGTGGACAGGGGAAATTAGTAGACAGTTGAACTGGAGTGGCAGAGAGCAGGGGTGAGGTAAGATCCAGGCTTCTGCAAACAGAGGAGAAAAGGCGCTGTGAGGCTAACCACGCAGGCGCGGTCGCTGGAAGAAGGTGAATAGCGTGCTTCGGCCCCTCCATTCATTCAACAACCATTCACTGAGCACTGACTAAGTGCCAGGCCCTGGGCAAGGCACAGGGGACAGGTGGTGAGCTCAAACCAGAACTGAGGCCTCCCTGCAAGGGCTCACAGGCAGCAGGGAAAGACACACCAGGTACCACGTGTTGCCATGAAGTTACGACCTGAGGAAGGTGGAGGGCCCTGAAAAGACACGGTGGGGGGATGTGGCCCAGAGGAGAGTCTGGGACAGCTGCACAGAGGAGGAGACTTTGGGGCTGAGCTCTGAAGGGGGACGAGGCGCCTCTGATGGCACGCACCTGCGTGTCTCCTGCCCTGTGTGCCGAGCTCCCTGTCCTCTTCCCACCCCCACTGCTGAGTCCCTGTCTTGGTGCAAAGGAGGTGCCCCACAAACATTCAGGTCACAGAGGAGAGAACAGACAATTGCCACCGGGCCTTGACTCCTAGGTGATGAGAAAACATGTCAAAAGAACTTGGTTAGTCCCTCCTGATCCTTTAGATAAGACTGTGGATTCAGCTGCCTTTGGGTCAGAGACAGGCCTGCCCTCTGTGGGGAGGGGCAGGGCTGGTGGGAGGAGGGAGACGGCTCCTCGGAGAGCTTTGTGCCACCACTGGGGGATATACCCTGAGGTCCGCGTCCAGGCCTCCCTGCCAGGCTGATCTGAGCAGCGGATCCGGCCCCTGCCCTCTGTCTTCCCCCTAGAGCATCTTCCAGGGGAGCTGGAAATGGCTTTGAAAATCCAAACGTGCACTGCATCATGCTGGACAGCGCTCGTAGGCGGCTCCCACTGGTGCGAGGAAGGGAGAACTGTCTGACCTTTTCTAATGTTTGACACAAGAAACACTAAGAGGAACAATGACAACTAAAAACTGTTGCCTCTGGGAGGAGGGAGGGGGAGGGGGACGGAGATGAGACTTCCATGTATATACATTTATGTCTATTTTCGGCTTTTGAACCTGTCCGTGTTGAAGGTGTTCAAAGATAAAATTAAATCAGGCCCACAATGAAAGTTATGCTCCCTTTAACCCAGCAATTCCACAGCTGAGAATTTCTCCTAGAAAGAAAAGTATGCTTAAATATGCAAAGATAAATGTGCAAAGGTGTGTGCTGGCTCCGTTTGAAATGCCCCAAAGCAGGAAACAACCAAAATGTAAGGAGTGTAATGCACGCCATTGTTATACAAATGCGATTGTTAGACAAATGAACAGCAGGGCATCGTGGAGGCTGCTGGGAAGGATGGGGTGGAATGAGTGTGGACGCGGAAGGCGCTGGGGAGCACGGGGGGGCCGCGGGGGGCGGGTCTGAAGCCCACAGAGGCCGGAGCCCACTGCCTGCGAGAGGCCCAGCTCTCAGTGCCTCAGTTTCTTCACCAGTAAATGAGGAGCAGGAATAGTACTGGCCTCACGGGGTCGTTTGAATTAAATGAGCTGAGGTGTGGAACACTCAGAACACTGCTCCTCGCGTGGTAAGTGCTACTGTTGTGTCCGGGGAAACTCCCAGAGGGGTGCACGAGGAGCACGAGAGGTTTGGAACTCGTAACTTCTACCCCTCTGCCACACCCTCAGACTTTACCAGAAGCTCGCGTTCCTTCTCTTATTAAAACCAAACTAAGGGGCTGAGCCATTCCTCCCTGCCCTTTACAAAGCTCCCTTCACTCCTTTTTCGAACTGGGATCTTCTCCTCCTCCATCAAGTAATTAGCAACTCTGGGACCCAGCCGGCTGCTGGGACAGGCTGGGTATGGCTCGAGCCCCGGGAGCGCAGCGCTGTCCCTGTCCCTGTGCTGGCTGAGCCCCCACGGCACCAGCCCCTTCCGGTGCTGTGAAAGCTGGCTGCCCCCTGGGCCTCTCCCCCCAGGTCTCCCACCCTGAGCTCTGCTGCTCCCAGAAAGTTGCTTTATCTGCACTTCCTGATCTAATACCATTCAGGCTCTTCCCCAGCTCCCCCTCCCCCAGTGACTTGACAGCACAAGCTCCTAGAGTTAAAAAAAAAAAAAAAAGAGCACATAATTTGTGGCAAGTGGAGTTCATAATCTGTTAATTTATTATCGTTTCTGTCGACCTGGAGGGCCATTAGCAGAGGTAATAAAGGGAGATGTAATTATAGGATCTGAGGCCACTCCAGACACAGCTGCTGTCACTCGGCAGCCCATAATTCATCGGCCGCTGGCATCCTTCTCTCCCCGGTGTGAGCCCGCCGGTGGCTACCTGGGCGCAGGGCCACTGGGGGCCCCTGCGTGAGGAGGCCTTTGGGGGTCCCCTGCAGAGGCCATGCGCCTGTCAGCTGGAGCAGGCAGGGGCGCTGGCCACTCCCCACGGGCCTGCAGGAGAAGGCGCCCCTGGCTGGGACAGCGTCGAGATGGCCTGGGCTAAGGATGACGGGCTGATGACATCTGGAGGCTGTAATTCATCAAGTGACACCCACTGTCTACGAAAGGCTGAGGGCTCCTGGTCTAAGCTCTCACTCTCCGGAAACAAGAGGCAGACAATCTAAAGACGTGGGTTTGTTTTCTGGGCAGCCCAACACTTGGGAAATCAACAACTGGGCGAGCGGGACTTTCGACTGACGGAAGCAAAAGAGTGGCTGTTGTTCTGAGCGAGCAAACTCCAGTCAGGCCCAGCTCCCCACGGGACTCACCCCGTGTGTTCAACACTGTGGGGAAAGGGAGCAGAGTGCGGGCAGTGGGTTTGTGCTGCAAGGGTCCTTCCTCTGGCTGAGCGGGCCGCTGGGTGCTCGCACGAGTACTCCAGCTTCTGTGCGTGTGTGAAAGCGTGTGTTCACAGCATCCACCGCCCTTCCGAACTTCCCTCCATGGCCTCTGCCCTCCAACCCAGAAGGCCCAGCTCAGGTTCTGCTCTCCCCCCTGGCAGCCAGCCCAGGGCATCCCTCCTGCCTCCACACTCTGTCCCAGGGTTCCTCTCGCTGTGTGCCAAGTGTCTGTCTCACGGATGAGAGACGGGAGGGACACAGGGGGTAGGGCTGAAACAGTCATCACCTGTTGACACAGGGTGATGGATACCCACAGGTGCATTATGCTTGTTGACCTACCTTTGTTCAAAGTTTTCTATGACCAAGTTTTTTTTTTAAATTATCCACCTTATTCCCAAATAGGATTCTTTGGAGAGAAATCAAATTCTTTGTATCAGCTGCAACTAGCAAGAGATCTCACATACAGTTAATGCTCAATAAATGCACGCAGAGGCAACTGTGAAGCCCCCTCTGTGTGCCAGGGGCTCTGGGCTAGAGGTTAGGGGATACCGCGCCTGAGGTGTGGTTTCCTTTGCTGAAGGACAAAGGCCTGGGCTCCCTTCAACGCTCTATTCTTGAGCAGTCACAGGGAGCCCGTCCTTCTGTCTGCCCAGGAACCAGGACAGACGGGAACCAGCACAAGTCCCAGGGTGGGACCCAGGTGTGCATCCTTCTGACTCAACCCATTCTCTTCCTTGCACTCTCCTCTTTCTAAGGGCTGGAGAGCGGGCCTCAGGTGAGTTTTCCATCCAGTCTCAGATGGGATTAAATCGATTAGTTTAAATATATCAGGCCCTTGATGTGTCATCACCCTTCATAGGAGGTTTACAGGCAGGGGCAGGAGACTCTATTAATTAATTTTACCTTAAACACTAGAAGGTCAGGCCCCAATAATTCGGCATGCACATTTATGCAAAATAGGCAGATTAGTGTTTGAGGCAGACGGGTGAGCTCCTATGTTTATTTTTTAATAGAGAAGAATTCAGCTTGGGACAAGGAGAAATGGCAATGCGAAAGGAGGCGTTTACTGCTGTCGGCAACAGTGACAATGGTCACACGGTCCCTGACACAGGCAGGGCCCGGGCTAAGTGTGCCACCTCCTCCCTGCACCCCGGTAAGGGGACTCTACTCTGAGTCCCATTTCACAAGAGAGGACACTGAAGCTCAGAGAAATGAGATGTCTCATAATACTGGAAAGGACAGCTGGGCTCAGAACCCAGGGCTGCGCGAATCCAGGGTCTGTGTCCCCAGGAACCGTTCTGCTCTGCCCTCTGGGTTGGAGCTGGGAAGTCAGACGGGAGAGGGGATGGGTGGCAGGGGAGACGGTGCCTCCTGGGTCTACTCTGTCGTCTTGGAGGTGTGGCAGGGGTGGGGTGGCAGAAGGGGAAAGCAGTGACCTGGGGAGACCACCAGGAGCCACTCCTGAGCCATTGCTTGGACACAGTATCTGCTAACCCTGAAGAAAAGAGTGTGATGAGGGGCGGGGGTGCAGGGGAGCTGTGCCTAATTTGGCCCTGGGTTAGTGGAGCAATCCAGGCTGAGGTGTCTTAAGCAGTGGCCTGACCCCACATCTGTGCTGAACCAGCACAGGACAGATTCGGAAACTACTGAGTGTGTAATCCCAAGAGGCTGAGCTCCTTAGTGAGGGCTCTGCAGCCCAGATCCCCGGGAGCCCAGCCCTGTGTGGGAATTCTGGGCACCCCACCAGCTAAGCCACACCAGCACCACCTCTGACCAAGCGGGCTCTGTCTACAAGCCTGTCGGGGCGAAGGCTCCTCCCTGTGAGCTGTGCACAGGTCCTACATAAGGGCTTTTTCCTCACCGTGGGTCTTAGCATTTAAGTCTAGGACGCCCTCGGTACGTAACCATGGATGCTGTGCTTATCGTTCGGAGCTCATGACAAACACACACACAAACCAAAAGATGATCTGCAGACAAGAAGATAGAGTGCCCCATGCCACACAGCTAGTAAGACTCCAAGTCCACGGTCAACCATTGCCAGAGGACTATAGGATGTCTCCACCACGCTACAAGCCAAGTTCGTTAGAACCTTACAGGAATAAACAGCACAGACTTTAGAAAGGTCCCCAACATGTATGTAATATAAAATATATGGGTATCAGTGTCTACAAAAACAAAATAAAATATCGGTTCCCACCATTTATCCAGAACAACAAAAGCTAAAAGAGAGTTGGGGGCCGCATGCAATGCAGAAAAGTCCTATCACCTGAAACATGTTCACTACACACACTTTGCATGCCAGAAACGATTGTAAAATCACAGAACCCATGTAAGGAGACAGGCCTCCCCTAGAGATCAGGCACATGGCAACAGTGAGCATGCAACCGACGTCAGACACGCCTACTGCTCACATGTGTGCCCGCATTTCACCCTCCCGGCACAGCCCGCCAGAAGTGGGCGGACCTGTCCAGGGTTACACGGCTAGCAAGTTGCAGGCCCAGAACACAGCTAGCAAGTTGCAAGTGTTGAATCCCAATCTGATTCCCAAGCCATGTTCTTGACTGTTCCACTCCACCTGCCTCTAACAGGGAGCTAGAGGAGAAGGCCCCACCTTCCATGTTGCTTTCCAGTGTATTTCCACTAAGGTCGACATGAAAAACTCTACTTCTTGGTCTTCAAGGATAAAGAACATGCTGTTTGAATATCACCTATTGCAGATGCAGTCGTGACCCCTTAGAATGACAACCAGTTCTGGAGGCCCCAGCAGTTGAGGAACATTGCCGGACCTTCCAAACACCTGCTCACCTCCAACCCCACAAGGAGACAAAAGGAAACCAGAGGGAAGCGGGTTTGCCAAGATTTTGCAGGGTTCCTGAGCTCCAGGCTGCATGCATCAGAGCCGCAGCCGGCTGTGGGGACAGCGGCTGGGAGTCCCTGGCTACGCTTTCTCCCTGGTCCTGTGCGACTCACCTGGGATGTGCTTGGCCCAGCCAATGATGACCACGAGCTCTCTGTCCGCCAGGTCACAGAGAGTGGCCAGGGACTTGATGTCACCCTCAGGCATGCCGGCGGGAGGCATGGCATACAGCTTGTCTGGCTCAGCCACCAGCAGGTAGGAGACGATCTTGGTCACTGCGAAGACCAAAGTGGGAAAGTAAATGCCGGGAAAGAGGGAGGGGCTGGAGCAGAGCCTGGGGTGGGTCAGGAAGCAGAGTCGGGTACGGAGGAACCCAGGAAGGTCAAACTTAGCTGTCATCTCCCCTCCCTGGTGAATTCTCCCAAGAGGAACCTGCTTTGAGTGGGTGGCTAGAGGGCATGTTCCAGGTGCTGGAGCCCAGGCCCTCTTAGGACCGTGCTTCATTTGGAACCACATACTCGGGTGTCCCACATGGAAAGGTATCATTCTGAAGTACCCGACCACAATGCCAGGCACTGATGCCACCTCCCCAGGATCCACATTGTCCCGTAACCCAGCACTGGGAAGATGGCATTTCCCCAAGGGGGGCCAGCCATTCCAGTACAGGTGCCGGCGACAGGGGCATGGACTGCTCTGGCACTCACAGGGCTTTTTAGCAGGTGGGGAAATCTGTAAGCTCAGGTACGGGCTGTTCTCCGAGTCCAGCCGTCGCTTGTATTTCTGGCGGCCTCCACGCACTCGGTCAAGGCGCACACCTGTTGGGGAGGAAAGGGAGGAGGTCTCAAGAGCTGTTCAACATCACCAGGGATATTAGCAATGACTTTGGGACTTCAGCACTGGCTGAGTCCTTCCAGGCCACACCCAGATGGCCTTTTACAGCTGCCCCATGGCCAGCCTCAGGCCAGGTGGTTGGACATTCCTAAAACACTTGTCTACAATAATGGCCCATCTCAGTGGCCCCGGGCCTGGTCCTGCCCTCTGGATTCAGCATCCCCCTGAAATCCATCCCGAGCAACCTTCAGCTCCTGAGTCCTTCTGTCTCTCAAAGGGAAGGGGCAACAGAAGCACTCCTCCTCGTGCTGGGGAAAGGAGGCACGTTATGTCCGATCTGCTGTGACTCCACCGGGGAGGGCTGCGTCAGCGGGCCGAGAGAGCGAAGGAACGCCTGCTACTGGCAGGTGCCCCAGAAGACTTAAAACAAGGATTTCCAAACCTTTCACCTGAGAAGCACCTGGGTGGGCACTCATTACAAATGTCAGTTCCTGGGTCCTACGCTCTGAGACTCTAGGATGGAGACCTAGAGTAGGTCAGGCACACGAAGTCCCAGAGGATGGGGATGCAGGGGGCCCTGGCCGCATCTGGAAAACCAATGCCTGGAGGTATCTCAGCAGCAGGTGCAAAAGCACTGTGGCTGCTCCACAGCGACACCCATTTCCAGGAGTGAGGCCCAGTCCTTGAGATCTGTATTGTTCCTGGGTCCCTACCACCTTCAAGCAACTGGTCCCACCCCCAGCTCCTGCTGTCTACACAGGTGCATTGTACCATCTGACACCCCCGCCAGCAAGCAGAACGGACAGGACCTGGGCTGGGCTCCTCACCCAAGGGCATGCAAGCTCATGCTGGCCACCGACCTGTGTGGCCTGACTGGAAGAGATGGCTAGGACCCATCAGATCAGCTCCACGGTGGAAACTAACACAGAAGACAGAATGGCTCTCCTTCCCCTGCCATGGAGTGGGCCTTGACTGAAACACAGGAAGAGTCAGGAGCCAGCGTCCTGACAGGAACACAGCTCAGTGGCCTCCTCAGCCTCTGCCCTGACCAGCTACCTTCGACCTCCGGTCCTTTCCCCAAAGGCCACGTTTCCTGTTTCCCAGTCAGTGGATGATCTCAGGGCCCTGTCTCCCCCCAGCACCTCCTCCTGCTGGTCTAGTTTCCTCCCCGCTCCTGGCAGGCAGGACCGGCAAGGCCCATCAGCCCCGGCCTCCCTTGGAGAGAGGGAAGAGAGAGGCAGGAATAGCGTAACAGGAGGAGTTAGGCCCCATTCATCCGTTCCTGCCAGGGGTGATTGTCTGGCTGCTTCTCAGTTAGGGTGTACAGCTCCTCAATTCAAGTCCAGGATAGGAAGAGAAGTGTCCTGGGGCCAGAGAACAACTGAAAGTAAAGCTGCTGTTTAGGGAATGGGCGGGATGGCTCTTCAAACGCTAATGGCCCTAAAGGAACTTCCAGGGGGAGGTGCCCATCTTCGGGCTTCCAGGCAAGGGCTCCACCCACAGCCTCCTCCGGAGGGCAAGGAGGAAGCTCTGAGCACACCAAGCCCAGCAGACGGCCCAGGGGACTTGTCTATTTGGGGAGCCAGTCACTGCTCAGCATCTTCATCTGCAGCTTCCTGTCCCACCCTACTTCCTAATTAAAGGGACTCTCCTGTTGTGGGTCATCCCGCTGGAGGGCCTGGCCCACCCCGCACTATGGATATCACAGTGCCCAGGTCCTCCTTCTCTCCACCCCCTGGAGATGGAAGCATGGACTGCTGACACAGGCAGAGCCACGTGGCTTTGAATCAGGATCAAATGGCACAAAGACAGAGGGAGGGTGAAGATGGGTGAGGGCAGCAGTGGTGGCCTCAGGAGCAGGGGAGTGGGCAGCCCTGGGTCAGACTCTCCTGGTTCCTGTATGTCCTGCGCCTGGGCAGTCCGGGCCTCCCCCAGTCCTCCTCTGGCTTCTGAGGGTGGTCCCCGGGCCTCCTGATAGGCTTCCAGTGAACTCCCCTCTTGCTTCAAGGGTCAGAGTGGGTTACAAGTGACCACCTCTGTAGTGGGTTCTCCAGGAGCAGACCCTGAGACAAGGATGCAAGGCAGGCAGCTGATTTGGGGGGAGCCTCTCAGGAAGACAGGCTGTGATGAGTGTGCTCCTGAATAGGCTACTGCTGTCGGGCAACTGAGGACCCTAGGACACAGTGCAGAACAGGCCTCAGCTTTGCAGATGAAGGCCTTGGGGCATCTGGCCACCTCTGCCCCAGTCACTGGCACTACCTAGGTCCTGGCTGAGCTGGCTCTGGTGGCCAGAGAAGCCTCGGGCAGAGCTGCAGTCACAGGGCAGCAGGCCGGCAGGAGAGCACGCCATAAGGGCCTGAGTAGATGGGGGTGGGGCACCGAGGGCTGCCGTCCTTCTCCAAGTGTGGTCCAGAGCCAGCAGCATCAGCAGCATCTAGGAGCTTGCTAGAAACGCAAAAATCTCAGGCCTGGACCCCAAGGAATCAGAGTCAGCACTTTAACAAGGTGATGCACATGCACGCGAGAGTTTGAGAAGTGCTGCCCTCCAGCATCCTAGCAGATGCGGCTGTCAATCAACTCCCATCACTCCCTGGAAGGACCTTGAAGGGGACTGCTGAGTCCTATCTGGCACAAAACCTAAACACACGAGCTGGTACACCTTCAGCTCACATTTGCCCCCTCACCCCTCCCAGCCCTTCAGAGAGGCCAGAAGGAGCAAGCACACGAAGGCAGGCAGGTAGCATGAGTCCTCCCTTGAAGGTCTCAAGGTATCTGGGGAAAAGCTCTGTTTGGCAGAGTGTTCCTGCCCCCATCCTGGGACACGGCCCCAAAGCAGCTCCCACTGCCCCTGCGCCCAAGGGGAGCTAACCCTCCACCCAGCTCTGCTTCCTCTTGGAGAGCTGGTGAGACCAAGAGTGACAATGCCAAGCTCCACTCACGAAGGACCTGAGGGCCCCATTTCCGGAGCACCTACTATGTGCTAGGGCCCGTCATGGAGTCCAGGAGGAGGCCCTTCCCCATTGCACCGACTTTCTCTCCTAGAAGGGCCGACTCACGAGCTCTGCACCCCGCACCCAGCCTGCCCGACCCAGGCAGCTGTCGACAAGAGTGGAAACTTCTCAACAAGAGGTGAAAAGAGGCACGTATCCCTTAGCCAGGCAAGGCGATGGGCAGTTGCCACATCTTGTTGCTGCTTCCATCTGGAATGTTCTCTGTCCTGATACAAGACCTTTCCCTCAGTGGGTGTTCTGGAAAGTCTTGATGAATTCAGCAATGGGTGCGCCTCCTTCCTCCCCCCACACCAGCCGGGTTCCTCTTCCAGGGCTCGGATAACGCACTGGGCTTCCCCTACCAACGAGGAGCCTCTTACACCCAAGGACTCCGTCCTACTCCAGCGTCTGCCACGGCACCCTACATGCAGTGGATGCTCAAGGAATTGTACCTGTTCCTATTGTATCATCATCATCACCATCATCACCATCATCATCATCACTTTTCTTCCCCAGCACTGTGTACATCTCTCCGGAAAATCACGTTAATAATGATAAAGGGAACAGCCTAATTTACAAAGGACTTCCTCTCTGTATTCCCTATTTAATCCACAGCATGTAAAGCAGGTGCTATCATCCCTATTTTAGCTCTATTATCCCTACTTTTTTCAGAGAGATTTAGTAATTTGCCCAAGGAAAGAGCCAGCATCCACGCTCTCTGCCATCCAGGGTCTGACCTCCCGGGGCACAGCAAGCGTAAACTCTGCTCCGAATGTCCTCCCCCAGATCTTTACAGCAAAGTGGTCGATGGCTCCAGTCAATAAACGGATCAATTACCAGAATATTTTGTTTAAAAAAACAAACTGCGGGCTTTGATTGTGTGCAAACTGACACCTGGTGTGAGATGTACTTGCTCCCCTGGCTTCCTGTCTGCTTCTCCCTCCGCAGGAGCTGGAACCGCCCATTGAGGGGTGGAGGGGGGATCCAGTGATCAAGGGCCCTGAATGTGTGCTTCCCAACCCGGGGACCCCCATTCTCCTGCGCTGAGGTTGGGGCAGATGGGCCCCCACCTAAGGGAAGTGACCTTACCCCTCCTGCCCACACTGTCCCCAAAGGCAATTCACGGCCTGAGTGTCTGAAGGCCCAGTTCAAGTACTGTCTCTGCTGAGAAGTCATTCCAGACTGCGGCTGGCAGAGCCGGCCATGCCCTCCCTGGGCTCCTTTTGCTCATCTGCTGTTACAGGAACTACAGCTGAAACAACAGCTCTTCACAGTACCCTGAATGCATCTCCCTGGCGGATGGTGGGAACCTCCTGGGCGAGGGCTTTCATTCATTTTGCAGCCCACGCAAGTGTCTGAGTAAAATGATGGGCCAGCCGAAATGAAGCCCCACGGACTTAGGAAACAGAGGAACCGCAGGGTCTGGTCTTTTCTCTGGTTTCCACGTGTCCCTCCAGCCTCCAGACACTTGCTCCCTCAAGGCAGCCCGTTCCTCGTGAAATTCCCCCCTCAGATCGAGCTAAATTCTGTCCCCAAATCACTTTTTACCCTTCACCCCACCCATGAAGACTATACCCTTCCACGAGACAACCCTGTATGGACTTGAACTTTCTTGGGCACCCTCCTTACATGGCCAAACACCCTTACTTTCTACATTCATAGAGTGTTTTCAAGCCAGTCACCTCCCGGCCTTCCAAGCATTTTTCTTTACTGATGTGATCTGCTCAGAACCGAGAAGGGTCAGTCCCTCAAGGGCAGAGACAGTGGACAGGGGTCTGAGTTCCTCTGCTCTCTACCTAAACAGACATTGCTCAACCATGTTTATCCTTATTGTCAGTCAATGTGTTTTTATATTTTCTCAAGTATGCGGCTCATAATTTTAGTGAGTAAGTAAAACCTCCCCAACTGGTTTCTTATCCCGAGAGCAAGATGTTGGATCGTGAATCTTCTAGAAGTGGAGCACCAAATTCTAACAGTCGGGCCTGGCAGACATT